GAAGGTGCTCTTTGTACAGACTGTAAAAACAAATTTCCTCCACTGAGGACAATAAAGAATGAATCTGAATCTGAATCAGAATCTGAATCTGAATCACACTGTTTTTGCATTGTATGATATATCTTTATAAGATTTTCCTCAACTGGAACTAAAAAGTGAAACAATGAAAAACACAAACAGAACAAAAGTATTTGTCCAAATACTTTTGGCCATATAGTATATTTTCTTATCATGTCAGAAAGATCCTGCATGGTCACAATTAGGACACATTTTAAAGTTTGAAGTAGATATTTCTCTACAGTTTAATGAGAAAGGAGACTCACTTTCGTCTCTCTCACACACACACACACTTTCTCTCTCTGTCTGAGTTGTCAATTGCAGTTTGATGTGTTTGTTTTGTGTTCATCCCACAGCCTACTTTCAGTTGTTGGTCAGCATTCATGACTGTCAGAAAATGTAGCTGGTATTCACTGAGGTTTCACTGAGGTTTCTGTGATTGGAAAGAGGAGGGAAAAACATCCCCCGAGCAAGTTGACAAGAATAGAAATAAGCTTGCAAGCAGAGATGAGTGAGATAAAGATCCCAAAACAGAAAGAAACAGCTCGGTGGAGACATGACTTAAACCACACAGGACAGTGTAATTTCATAGGCGAGAACGCACAAAAACGGAGATCATGAGGGTGTGATTATCAGTCATCTCTGACTCTGTGCTGTGGAATTCACAAATTGGAGTCATATATTGTACAAGGTTAATTAAAGTAATTGAGTGTTTATTTAATACTATTGTTGAGAAGGCCTTAAATTAACTCAAACATCCCTGGTAACATTGAAAGGGACAACACAAAATGTCATGGGGTTTTTTGTTGTGCCTGTTGTTAGTGGTGAGTAAAGCTGACAAATAATATAACATGAAATCCTCCCAGTAAAAAAACCCTTCTATCACTTTCTTTGCATGCATGATAAACTGAAAGGCATTTGTGGTTTATCTCCTCCTCACTTTACTATTGCTTGATCAAACAATAAAAAAAAATCAGTTACAAAATGTCCAATGCCCAATGTCTGGTGAAATTATGTTTTGCTTTGCTGTATAATACAAGAATTATAGCACTTCACTTTTGTTTGAGTAACTGCTCAGATCATGTTTTTAAATGTTTTTATTTGTATTCATCTTATGCAAACCACAGGATGGACAGTAAAATGTAAAGCAACAGGCATAACAAGACAACAAAAGACAACAAAAGAATAAATATGCAATATAAAGTCAACACAGAAAAATAAAAATAAACTTTTTTACTTAGGACCCTTTAAAGCAATGCTATGTTTACTTGTTGCAACAGTTCAACCACATCGTGATGTTCATTTGAATGGGATTTAGAAGCATCAAGAGGAAAACTATTTCATGAAAAAGCAAAGATTAGAGAAATAAACATAAGCTCTGTAGCAGAAAAGGGTTACTTTCTTATTACATCTAAATATCCCAAAAACTATGTTTAGTTTAATATATTTACCCTGCTGAAACTGTAGTCTAAAACAATGTGTTAAATGACCTCAAGTAAATACTATATCAAAAAGGGAGAACATAGGCTATTGAAAGAATTCCTGCAGGATAATAAAGTTGTGTAGCATTGAAAAAGAAGACAATAACATAATGAACTGCACAGAAAGGTCCATCTTTGTGTATGTTTAAAAAATAAAAAGTAGTGAAATAAACCATTACATGATATTATACTTATGTCATTTTTCTGTTATTTCTATTCTACTAATATTGGTTGAAATTCCAAACAAATTGCACCAACACAGGTTAAATGTGAATGCACTGTCAGACTTACTCTGTACAACACTTCCCTCTTGTGGTCATTTTGTATACTAACTTAAATGGAAGCAAAACTGCAAACTTGACATGCTGTAAATCTAAATTTCAATTTAGGATATGGATGGGGCACAATTTTGATAGCAAATGCAGTATGAGCTGTTACACAGATAATTTAGTCCTGTTTCTGTAGTGCCAAAAAGCCTCTGATTGTCTGTTCAGGTATTCAGAAGATGCATGTTATAATAAAATATGCAGTACAATTTGGAACAAGTTTGGGAATAACAGTGTTAAAATTTTAAAAGATCATCAACAGAAGTGATGATTGTTATGGAAAGAAAAAAAATAACATCAAAATGATCAAAATTTCCCCGGTGTCGATACACAACTATAGGAGGCAATTTATGAAGAAATTGTGGGTGCAACATCCAGCATCAGTGTTGAAAAGCTAACGCTTAACTGAATTGCCAGCTTTAATTTGTATGAAAAAACAGCAGAAGAAGTATGAATAATGGCTGGGGGCTAAACTGACTTTCTGCTGGCTTAAATTTGTATCCTTTAGTACATTGTTTGTGCAGGAACCTTTTTTAATACAGAAATCTGACATCCCATTCTCTTCAATGGATTTTGGAACAAAAAATATACTTAGATTTCACTCAACCTTTTTTATGTTTTATGGATACATTACGTAGCAAATGTTTAATTCAGTAGGCTCATTCAGCAGCCCTGCAGGAGAGACACTGTGGTGGTTATGGGATATGTATACATAAGCAGGACACATACTTTTACTTTTTCTGACTGTGTAGAAATCCAATGTTTTTTTCTTTAAAGAAAGAAATAATGCACAATGCTTTGCCGAATTTACAAGAAGACATGTATTAAGACCTACTAATAGTTTGCTTGGAACAATAGGTATTGTGAACATTTGAAAGTTTTCTGAATCTACACCCAATAACGGAGCGAAGACCTCATGAGGAGTCATTTATGACTCATGGGAGGACATTTATTTCTTAGATATATTTTGGTTTGCCACTTCCTGCGGATGATACATTCATTTCTTTACACTAGCAAAGCTGTACTGACTGGCACCTGCCAAGAAGACACATATACGTACATTAAACAAATCTATTATATTAAAATAATGAAAAAGAGCACAATCAGGAGGAGGAGGAGTAAAAAATGTGAAGCACACATGCACACAATCATTAGAAAAAGCATGCAAGCACTGCATTGCATCTTTAAGTGTCTTTGTGTGTATATATTACTCTGCACATTAGTGCTCTTTTTGGTAGTTTTCTTTTGTATCAAGGACAAAAGATCAACTCCTTTCAAACTTTTTTAAAACCACCATACAATAAGTAACATTTTGGTACTAAATCTTTTTACCACCCACAACCTAGATGACTCACTGGTGTGTGTTCACCCTTGTGTAACCTCCATCTCAATTCTATATTGTTCAACACTTCCTCTTTTCCCATCAGTGCACACACATGCAGCAAACACCTCCTGATTATGATCAGTTGTTGCAAAGTGTTGCCTAAGACAGAAAGGAACAGAACATCATTACATTTACTAGAAAGCAGGAATTTAAGAGGGTGTGGAAGGAGAGATAGGGTGTGAGCCTCTAACACGATGCTACGTTCAAATCATATTCAAGAATCTTTCAGACAGCCACACCTCAGCTTCCTTAAAAGGGGTGCGTTTGGTTTTTAAACGCCTCAAGCTCATCATCAGGTTCCAACCAGCAGCGACCAAAAATGGTATTGGTGGAGTCTGAAAACAGAGAACGGAGCACTCATCTTGTGATCAGGTTAGTGGAGAAAGCGTTGGGGGGTTCTTTTTTCACATGTCTCTCTGATCAGTGTGGTCCGACTACTGAAATGTGTTGTATTCTCACATATTCTTCTGTATTCTGCAAAAAGTACAAAATCATGTATGTCAAAGCAGTTTGTACTTGATTTACTGTAAGTTAATAAATACATCAGGATGGAAAGTAAGTTGTATGTTGACTTTTACATCTGTACAACAGCCAGTGAGCAGAACAGTGCTGTTGCCAACATTAAAACTTTCACCACATCCTGCTCAGTTTTTCTTGATGTCTCAACTATAGAGGCTTACTTAAGAATTAATTACTTTAATTATATTAATCATATCTGGAGGCCCTTATGCGTTAAACTCACACCTTTGCTGGCTAATATTCTGGTTCCACAGAGACGGTGTGTACATTACATGGCTCTCTCTGTAGTCTCTGTGTTTCTGTTTTGCCCAGTGTGGTTCTGTGTAATTTAGCAACAGAGTTCTGCTCATTTTAAGCCGCAAGCTGTTCCTTAAATGCATTTTGTATTACAATAGTGTGAGGCATGACAGCTCGTGCCTGAGAGCACAAAAATGACTTATTGATGCAAAAAGTGCAGTCTGCAATCTAATGGGAGAGTTGCATAGCTTTGCTGCTCACTGTTTTAAAATAATTTGAAGCGCAGTGCAAACCTGATTAAGTGGGGTAAAGCGAGATTAGCCTGTAAGACTGCAGTACCTATGCAATAACAGCAGCAACATCATTTATAAGGTAGCATTTAAAGTAAAAAATTAGCTTAAACAGCATGTACACCTCCCTAATTCTATGGTTTTACACAGAAGAAGTCTAGATCCAATAGGAAGTTCTTATTGTGAGGTCTCATTAAGTAGTTGATAAATTAAATAAACCTAGATATCTCTCTTTCTGCACATTTTGTGGGAGTTTCCATGGGTCTGTGCAAACGTAGAAATAATAAATATGTAATTATGTATAGTATCTGTGTTTTGTCACATTTTCCCTTTCATGCAAACATACAAAAACACAAACACACATTTTTCCAGAATATCTAACTTTTAGTTTTGTTGCACATGTCCTTTGTCTTTGTCATGTCCTTTGTGAGTCTTCCTTATTTCTATTTCCTTATTTGTTCAGTTGTATGTCATTTTCTTTGTCTTGCGAAAAGTAAAACCCTGTAGTTTCAAGTCTGTTTCACAATTCTGTTCGTCTTTATGAGCTCACATGTTCCTTACCAAGCAGAAACACATACATACACTGTGTACATACATACAGCAGTAAGGCAAGCAGTTTCTAAGAAAGAGAGAAACTTAACACAAATAACTTTTTTCAATGACTAAATGACTGAATTTTAATTTACTGTTATTTCAATAATAATAATTTTATGAATTATTGACCGATCTTTTTTTTTTCCAGAAAAGATTTGAAAAGTAAAAGCATAACATATTTGTGGTCACTGATTGTGATGTCAGTGAATCTTAATATATGATTTCTGGCTTCAGCTACAGTACTTCTGACTAATGCTTTCTTTCTTTTTATCCATATAGAAAAAGGAAAACGATTTTCTTGATTCATGGTTGAACAGAAACCTATCATGGTCTCTGATTTGACTGAGTTGTGGTGAGGCGTCTTCATATTGGGAGTCACAGGCTGAGTTGGAGTACCTGAGTGAGTTCTCATTACAATCATGATGGTCCCGATGCAAAAACTAACCCTGCATTAGAATGACTGCTACAGCAGACTTTTATTCATTTTAAGAAAGTTCTTAAGGATCTTTTGCTTTTCTAAGTAAATGTATATCATCACCTAGTGTCTATAAATTGAAGTAGTTTTAGTGAATTACATCCATTTTCTGTTCAGTTAGAGCTATAAATTGGTCAATTACAGACAGGTCGGATGTCTTCACAGCTGCTAGAGTCAAATCTGCAGACGGGTGTTTTCATCCATCTGTGTCACTGACATAACTGCCACACCCATAGAATCCCCCTTTGAAATGCTGTCTTTTTTTCCTGTTTACGTATGTCAATACAAAGTTCCCCAGCTGTTTTGTTACTGTCTGTGAGCGTCCTGTAATAACCTTGAATGTGTAGCTTTCACATGAGAACTTGATGCAGCCCTGATTAAAATGCTGTCCCTGAATATGGATTTAGGGTTACTATTCATGCATTCATTAAGCCTATTTGTTTATCTTTTTTTCATCCTAAATATTAGAGGAAATATAAATAAATAACTAAAATAATAAATTGATCATATTTGTTATTACAGTAGATAAAAAAATATATACAATTTGTAAAATATTATATTTACAAGGATTCACAATATTGGAGAGTCAATATTATCTTACATTAGGAGGACAGATTGAAAGAACTACTGGCATTCACAGGATTTAGCCAGATCGTGTAATGTGGTAAAATTAATCTTAATTGCAAAATATTATGTTCAAAGTCTATTCAGTGTAACTTTAGAGCCAAACAAAAAGTTATTTTCCATGAAAATAAGAAAGTCACAGTGAGTCAATCATCATTTTAAGTGTAGAAATGAGAGGAGAAGCTTACTACTTAATTTTAAGTCAATCCTTATTTCTCAACCTGATAAAAAGCACAAATATATTTTGTTTGTATGGATTTTGGACAGAAATGAATCTCTACTTTTGGTGATTCTACATTCACACAGACTATATAGGAATTTGTTGTTTTGTTCTTACATGACAGATGACAAACAAATACACTGCTGACTATTTTTATATAAAGTCAATCAAATGAAATGTCAGAGATAAACTGACCTGTTGATGGTTATCTGTGTTCATTGTTAAAGCAGTGCGTTTGCAACTTATAGCTGCTTATCTATAAATCATGTATACTTCTACTACTACATTTTTGATGACCATTGATTTCCACTCAATGCAGCAAAATGAAAATGAACTTATTTTTGGGGGAATTATATTCCTCTGGTTGAGAGGTGGTTTATGGTCAGCGCCTTAACTCCTACACCACCAGGGCTTCAACAAATTGATTTAAAAGGTTGCACTATAATTACCTCTCAGTTATCTTTATCATATAAACTACTAGATGCAGCATGGAACAGAAGAAAAGTACAATCCTCATTTCTAAAACACATAGTTTTCAAAATGGGTATTTGTGAAGTATATGTGATTCGCAGTAAATGGGCTTAAACATGGAAAAATAACTGATGTGGTAATTTAATATCTGTTTAGGTAAAGCCACAAAAACCTCATCGATCATTCATTATCACACTTCTTCATTCCTTTTTGCGACAGGGGTGTGAAAACACTAAAAAGACTCAAACACTCAGACTACTCAACTCAATGAAGAAGTACCTCCTCCTCTTTTTTCTCGGTGTTTTACCGCTGTGTCTTCTCAATGGATGGCTGACAGGATTCCAATCCCTACCCCCCATAAACCCCTCCACCTTCTCGAGCAGCAATAGAAATGTAACCATCCTGCTGTGGTACTGGCCCTTCAATAAGCCATTCAGCTTAAGGGGTGATGTGTGCTGGGACCTCTATCACATCCCTGGCTGTAGACTGGTGGACCAGCGCTCCTTGTTCCCCTCAGCTGATGTGGTGGTGTTTCACAACAGAGAGTTGGTAATGGGCCGCCAAAAGCTGCCCTTTGACCTTCCGCGGCCACAGGGCCAGAGGTGGGCCTGGATGTCTCTGGAGGCCCCTGTTTATAATGGAAACTTGAGAAATTATGGACATATCTTCAACATGACCATAACCTACAGGAGAGATGCTGATATCACTGTACCCTACGGTGAGCTGCTACCAAAGGCAGCTGAAGAACATCTGCAGGAAGACGGCCCTCTTAATAAGACCTCTCTGGTCTGTTGGGTAATCAGCAACTACAGGACCCAGCACAAGAGAAGCCAAGCGTACAAACAGCTCAATGCCACAGTTCCTGTGAAGGTTTACGGTCGTTGGACAAAGAGACCCCTCCCCTCTAAAGCCCTTTTACCTACCATCTCTCGCTGCTACTTTTATTTGGCTTTTGAGAACTCAGTCGCCAAAGATTACATCACAGAGAAGCTGTGGAGGAATGCTTACCTCGGCGGGGCAGTGCCTGTGGTCTTGGGACCGCCATTAAGCGACTACAAAGCTGTGGCTCCACCTAATTCTTTAATACACCTTGATGAGTTTGCATCAGTCAAAGACTTAGGAAAGTATCTACAACAGCTAGCAATGGACAAGAAACGCTACAATGAATATTTTACCTGGAAACATCAGTGGAAAGTGAAGCTGTACACAGACTGGAGGGAGAGACTGTGTAAGATCTGCTCACAGTACAACAATTTACCTCAGCAAAAGGTTTACTCTGACCTAGAGGCCTGGGTCAGTGCTCCTAACACTTGAGCTTGCATAGTTGTAGTTATCTTTTTATTGATACTACATTTCTGACAAATTACCATATATAATAATGTTTCAGTGTGTTCAGTTTCCATTTTATTGCTGTGCCAGAAACAAAAAACACAGATGAAAGAAATTGGAGAAAATGAAGAGGAAGAAACTTGAGTATTGCAGAAAAGAATTATATTGTTGAGATTTACGAAACTATGTAACAACCATGAATACACAACTAACATGCTTTAACTAATGACCAAGTGAATTAAATTCTTAGCACTTTGTACCAAACACCTGACCTCTCTAGGGTTAAAAGAATAGTTCACTTCCTTGCAGAGTTATAGGGGAGAAGAGTGATACCATTCTCATGTTTGCACAGTAAATATGGTAACAACTGTTTCTCATCTAACTCATTTGTTTTTTTTTTTTTTTTTTTTTTTTTTTTTTTTTTGGTAAATAGTTTCATGTGGGTTATTTCCCAAACCTGTAACTAATTGAAAAGTTTGACCGTCACATAGCTCACAGTTCAGTGCACTTTAAGAACATGGATATAACCCCCAACCTACATGTACTCCAAAAACACCTGGCAACCTATGTGGTTCCTATGTGGTTCCATTTAAAAAGGACCCCCCCCCCAACCAAAACAAAAAAAAAATATATATATATATAGAAATATAAATATATATATATACCTATAGCTATATATACGAAAACAATGTTGACCCCCAGCTTGAAGTAAACTCCAACTCCACACTGCTGTTAGTGCTGAATATAATGAAGCTACAGCTGAAAATTCAGTATATCCTCTAAATACAAGAATTTTTAGATGTTCATAATCCTGTTTCATTCAAACAGTAGGCAAGGTGGGGTGCCCGGTTAGCTCACTTGTAGAAGGGCCTTGGCGACCCCATATATGCCGAGGTATAGTTGGAGGCACGAGATAGACATAGCGGATGCATACCCCCCTACCTCAGTCTACCCTACCTTTCCTGTCTATCTTCGGCTGTCCTAATAAAGGCATGAAAAGGCCAAAAAAATAACTTAAAAAAAAAAAAAAACAGTAGGCAAGGTGTTGAATATCATTTTTTTATTAATTTGATGCAATTTAATCTGCTCTGTATTTGATTTTGAAGATGCCCATCTTCCCTTGCCAATAAATATTTTTTTACTGAAGAAGTCTGAGTGTCATTGCAGGGAACTACTATGAATTAATTCAGACTACTTATCTAACTAAAGCACAACTTCCTCAAATCTATTTTCAGTTACGGTAGGTAATGATTCTGTTTGTTAAGGTGCCTCAAACTATAATTTCAGTTCCTCATTCATTAAACCACATCTGGTTGTAAACCAAGAAGTAGAATTGTACAATAGTAAGTCTGTTATTGAACTGCACAACAAAAAAAAAAGACTTTTTAGTGGGACGTTCTTACGGGATACAGTTTCATTGTAAAGTCAGTTTTACTTGATTAGTAGGTATAGATACATTAAGGTTTAGAGTGATTTGATTGAAGACATCTCAGTGTAACTAACATTTCAATAACTTAATCAGTTTACAAATTTGAGAAAAACTGATGAGGCTAATAGTTAAAATTTCCCCCTCACACATTAGTAAATATTTGTCAGTAAAATAATTCATCACATCTTATTGTTAACACTAAAGTAACTCTGGGCTAAAGGATTGTTCCAATGTTCTTCTGAGAACTCTTAAAAGTTTAGTCTTGCTAATAGATTTGTGGACATCTATAGGGACTTCTAAATCATGTAAGGTATAGCCAGAGGACTGACATTTAATGTCTTTTCTAAAGTTTACAGACAACCTAGTAAAGAATAAACTTAAAAACAAACAAAAAAAACCAAGACCAGACAAGAGAAATACTGCAATGAGCACCCAAACTTGATTTTTAGTATTGACTGTTATTCAACAATTCATAAACATAAAAACCCTTTACAATAAAAACAAAATGGAGGTATTGAAATACAATTTGACTGTTGTAGCTTCAACTTGACACTTAAATTGATCAGTCAGGTTAGACTTAATCTCGCTACCACCTGAGAAAAATACTGACTGTGTGCAATTGGCAGAATTAGCAGCTAAGACACTTTGGAGTAACAAATCATAAGTCACACTCCCTCAAAATATTACTAACCCATCGGCGGTAAAAATATTTTGTAAAGATGTCGATGACAATCAACAACTTTAAATCTGGGTTCAGTATACAAATGGGACATAAAAAAAAAAAGATATAATATTCAACATTACAAAAGCAACTTTGTTCAAAAATCTGAGAAATGCGCCAAGAACATGAGGGTGCAGTTTCCATTTCATTGACAGTTCAGACTAATACTGTAGATGCTCTATTCAGATGGGACACAAAAAGTATTGCACAAACATTGACCAAACTTGTTGACGGTAAATTCTGTTCAAAGAGGGTCACACTGAAATTCCTTAGATAACCTAGATCTTTCCTTATCTGCACCACAGAGAACCTACCCACAATTTAGTACAAGTGGAAGGAAAACCCTGGTTCTTTAACCCTGTTCACATTCACTTACTCCACAACAGGACCATATACTGAAGTACCACTTTGGCATTGTTCTTAACCTGCAATGATTAAACCTATAATGATTAAAACCTATGGAATAACTTACTATGCACTATCCAAAAACACAAGGCACATTCAGAAAAATTTGGTTTAAATTGTTCCCGTTTTAGTCTTAAGTCAAAGCATATGTTGAGATGCATTTCATGGTAAGAGGATGTGGCCCTTGGCAGTTTCATCATCTAAACGGGGAAAAGAAACCACTTTTATCCACCTTCCACTGCTGCACTCAGTAGAAGAGCTTCCACACTTTTGAATGTTTCTATCCACCGATATGATCGGTCCATCTCGTTATTGGATTTAGAGGCTCGTCTTCAGCTTGAGTTGGGGTTGGACAGAGAGGCTCTGGGAAGGCAATCTGTGGTTTTGGCTGGGGACTACCTGAGTGTGCTTATCCAGTTAGGTGACTAACCAGTCCGGGGTGTAGGGCTTGTTTCAGGACGTCAGGCCGATGAAGCTGGGGCATATAGAGTGTGGGAGGAGGGGCACCGGGGTAGCTGGAAGTAGGGTAGCCCTGACTGGGAATGGGGGAAGGGACCATGTTCAGTGGGGAAGGACTCTGCTCGTAGTACTGACCATCGCACTCCTCATCTAGTGGCAAGGCCAGGCGCTTTCCTTTCTGTCTTCTGTTGCAGAACCAGACGCGTACCACCTGTCATGGACAGCATTTATCTTTTAAAAATGTGACCAATAGACAGACAATCTTTAAAAAAAAGTCGAACTGTATCACTTTTAGAGTTTGTACTTACATCTCTCTCCAAACCCAGGTCATCTGAGATGTGTGTGATCTCCTGGGTGTTGGGCTTGGGACACTTAATGAAGTAAGATTCCAGAGCAGAGCGCACTGCCCCCTCCAGACTGGTCCTCCTCTTTCTTTTTCTGGTGTCAACAAATACCCGCTCGATCTTGTACATCTGAGGACATCAGAAACATTTTAATATGGGTTCATACAACTTTATTTTGTGCATTTGTAAACAATTTGGTGTATGTAGGTCATGGTTCAAATAAGGTTTCTTGGGAGTACTAAACAGCTTGAGTATGGCCACCAGATGGCATATCACACTTCACAAGAATGGAGGGTCTTCATTCAGGTTTGCTCAGCAGGAAGTTAGCTAGACCTGAAAAGACCAACCGATCCCATGAAGCTTGTTGATCATCTGTTGTCTTGTTAACTAGTTGGCAGATGTCAAGAAATGCAGACTTACATCCTGGGGATTTTCCGAGGTTTCTGCCTCATTCAGCCATCTCTGAAGAAGGGGCTTCAGCTTGCACATGTTCTTGAAGCTCAACTGCAGAGCCTCGAAACGGCAAATAGTCGTCTGGCTGAACATCTTACCTACACAGACAAACAAACATGAAATATCCCATGGAAATAAACTAAGAATGGTTGACTTAAGAGCCTTGATTTGAGAGCCATCGGTCATGGATGTGCATTCCTATCGTTAGAAGACTGCAGATATAAGTTTAAGTGAAACGTTTGACAAACCTGGACATGAATGGACAAGATCACTTCTTAACTACTGTTAGGAACGTGGTTAAAAGATTATTAAATACTGATGCATAAGAAACTACAAATCCAGTAAATATGTCCACATGGACAGCCATACATGGTAGCTCCCAAATTGGCTCTATGACTAAGTACTCAGGTTTCCATATCTATCACTTAAGATCCAAGCAACCTCTTTTTAAAAAGTAAAAAGTATAACAGAGGTTGAAAAAAAAAAAAAAAAAAAAGTATAATATGAAAACTTACCATAAAGGTTACCTAGGGCAAGGCCAACATCAGCTTGAGTGAAACCTAAGGTAATGCGTTTGTGTTTCAGCTCCTTAGCGAACTGCTCCAGTTCTTCCGTGGAAAGATTCTCCTGAAAAATTGATATGATTTGAGTTTGAAAATGTGGGCTCATGTCTAGGTGGCACTTACATTCTTTGGACATGTTCTCTACAAGTTGCATTGGTTCTCACAAAAGGAAACAGTGCATATTTTGGTGAATACTGGACATCTGTTTTAATAGTTGTCCTTACCTCCTCAGAGTCGCTGCACCCGCCGCTGGAGGACCCGCTGCTCCGCGTGGAGGAGGCCGGGTTCTGAGTCTGCGGCCCGGTGACAGCCTGAGTTGTGTTCACGCTGAAAAACGCGTTCCCTGGAAGCCCGTTGCTTGGGGGCGAAGGGGACATAGATGGTGAAGATGCAGATGATGTTGAGGGGTTTTGGTTATTACTGCCCGGTGGTGTGATGTGGGTGATTCCGGGCCAGAAGGACGGGTTCCAGGCCGTAGAGTAGAAGACTCCATGGGGCATGGCGGCGGAGGTTGGAGGTGTTGGATACTGCTGAACTTTTATTTCCGTTGAGTAGTCATCACCGGTGTCCTTCTCAGTCTTTATTTCGGGCAGTTTGATTTGCTCCCTGGTCTCGGCTATTGGGGGACTCAGGTTTATAGGCTGGGTAGCTGCTGTTACGCCGGGTACTTGGCCGGTGTACTCGGGTGCAGCAAAGGGATACCAGTGCTTGGGTTGCCCAAACTCTCCAGCCTGCAGGTCGGATCCCCTATAGTCACCGGCGACGGGTGGAAAGGGGAAAAAGGTCTGTGCAGAAGCCGATGTGATGCCACTGTACGCGGTTTTATTGTAGAGGAAGCTCGGGTCTGGAAGGACGCCGTGAGGAAGCTGAAATGACGCAGCGCTGCCCAAGATATCCTGACCCAAAATCTGGGTGCAAGGGTTGGTCCGGCTGAAGTCATAGGGCCGGCTTTGGCACTCTGGACTCTGCGATCTTTCAGACATCTTCCAAGCGGTGTGAGAGCCTCTTGACAAGAGAGCGTCCAGAATTAAAAGTTTAAAAAAAGCTCATCCGTTTCCAAGTTTACGCACCAACCAAAGAGGGATGAGCGAGGGAGAAGTTGTCCAGAAGAAGAAAAACAGCAGCAGTCCGACAAAAGTCCGTTTGTGGGGAAATTCTGCAAAAATGTGGGCCTGAGAAGTTGCCGTTTTGGTGCAACATAACCACCAATATGCCTACGGCCTACTCCATGAATTCCAACCTTTTGACACGCCACTTACCTCACCTTCAAGCTCAAATGTCCCTCTCCTGCCTCTGCTCCACAGGTTTTCCTAATCACAGCTGCGGGTGTTGCAGATCACCGTAACTCTTCGCCCATTGGCTGGCGCAGACAATTGCGCACAGCTGATGGTGAATTTGTGAATGACCTTGATTCATCCCAAAGTAGTGGGCGTGTTTTCACATAAACTTTGAGCCTTTTTTTTGCCTCTCTCTTTTTTTTTTTTATTTAAAACGCATTACGCGCAATGCGAAATCATTACTCGGGGAAATATTAATAGCTAATTCGACGTCACCTTAAAAAGCATATTTACATTGCTAAATAGGCACAGGTCAGTGCTCCAGTAAATACATATTGTAACACTACAACCCGCTCACCCAGCACATGAATTATAAAGCTTGGGTTTGTTTAAATTATTCCCCTTTGAGGAGATGGCTTTGATATTAAAATACCTCTCATTGAGGCTTCACTCAGACGTGAATTCGTTTTAATCACGTACATTTAAACAAAATGAAAATAAACTGACACTGTAATCCTGAATAACTGCGATAGAACAAATTACCTTAATTAATCAGGACACGTTTAATTTGAAGCAAACAGATCTAAGGGCCAGGGCTAATTTATGCTTTTGAGAATGTTTTGCTCATAAGCAGCAACACATGCATGCCAGAAATAAAAAAATAAAATGAAAGGAAATGTGTAATTCTCGGGAAGTGCAATAGGCTATTTATCAAGCAGAAGGCGGGCAGTGTGAGATACATTCATGTGAAAGATGGTGGCAGATAAACAAGTGTTAGTGACTTGAAAGGTTGGTTTGTGGTGAAGTGGGAAGGTTTTGTGCATGGTGGGAAACACGAATTTGTTCATCCTTTTGTGAGAACCAATGCAACTTGTAGAGAACATGTCCAAAGAATGTAAGTGCCACCTAGACATGAGCCCACATTTTCAAACTCAAATCATATTAAATTTTTCAGGAGAATCTTTCCACGGAAGAACTGGAGCAGTTCGCTAAGAAGCTGAAACACAAACTATGTTAATTCTGCTTTGCCAAGATGAATCTTTGTACAGTAGGCTATATTAAAAACGCTAAATGTTTTGATATGTTGGTTATTGTCGCTCTTGAAGTTCTCGCCTAGTCTAGAAAACTGAGAACTACTGTAAATCATGAAATAACCAAGAGCATTCAGGTGAACTTCTCCCATTCAGTCTTGATCGGTGGCCATTCAAAAGCCTGGATGGTCAGAGCACTGTACAGATGCGCTCCCCCAGCGCGAGTAGTTTGCCGCAGATTGCGGCAGGAAGACACACTGCGGGAAGGGAGAGGGGGTGCCATTGTACGACCTGGCCCCGGGGCACCCCGTGGATTTCAGATCCCGAGTTGCGATGGTCGACCATTAGCTCCTTTTCAGATTGGAACAATAAGTCTCAACCCTTTGATTCCGCCCCACACCCACCTCCTCCCCCTTTCCCCTCCTGTCCTCTGAAACAAACACCAAGCTGAAGTTTCACTCTGGTCTGCAGGGTTGACTGAGGGCCAATACCCTGGCATCCCTTCTGATATGGCCTAAAGGTCCAAAACTGGTCTGAGGACCAATTTGTTGGAATATCTCTAGTACATTTGGTATTCAGCTTGAGATAATTGAGCATCTAATCCATCCCTTTTTGTTGTAGAACAAAGCTAAAATGTTTTTATGCTTTGTGACCCATCAAAATAAAGTGATACCTGAGTGGTGAATAATTTGATCAAATAAACATGTTACTTTTGCAGATTATACTATTTGATTATTATTCAGAGGCTTATAGACATAAATGTGTATTTAGAAGAAAATATAGAATGAAAAATATCAGAAAAGAATGATAATTCATTTTGTTAGACCTCAAAGTTATCTCATGGCATCATTGCAAACAGCAGTTATTGAAAATACACAGAATTTCTTCTTCTGAACCTGAAAAATCAGCTTTTACTTTTACTACACTGAAACCAGAAGAACAGCTCTCTGTCTGTTCTCCCAGATAGAAAGTCATGTAGGTCCAGGCCAGGGAACCTTGGGGAGACCACAAGAGCCTGGTAAATAGCTTAAAAGACATCAAACCCCAACTATACAAGCATTGTCCTGGGCCATGGACTTGGGAGAATAATTGTCATGCAAAAGACGGAGCAAGCAAGAAGAAATAGTAGACTTCAGGCAGGGCTTCAGAGAGAAAGGGACAGCAGAGCAAAGAGCTCATAGGGTGTCCAAAGGAGGGGGGCAGTATTGAATAGCTCGGTACAGTGAGGAGGAGATGTGTGAGGGGAGTATCTGGGGATTTGGTTGAAAACCCCCCAGATGTCTCAGATCTTGCCTTTAGTTCTTTTTAAGTGGCCTCTTCAAGACACCTCAGAGATCTGCTCGCGGGGCACGTCCAGTCAAACAGAGAAAGAGGGAAAGTTTCAGATAAAAGAAAGCTTTACAGCAGCAGTCTGAATGTCTTGCACACCTCAAACAGTCACACCAGTGAAGACAAAACACCTCTAACTTGAGCAGTAGGACCAAAACAAATCCCAAAGTATCAGTCTGTATTTTTAAAAAAAATCATCCTACCCATTGTTCATTATAGTCCTTGCTCTTGTTCATTTTTCCTTCTTCCACTCACCATCACCATAGGCATTCAATTGAAAGCAACACTGTTCATTTGTGATATCAAATTAGGACACGTTGTTGTCTTAAATATGAATTAAATGATCCCTGTTATGTGACTGATGATTGATCCCATTGTAAGAAACCGTCACCGCCTTTCATTTGAGGATGTACGGGTTTGAACGCATCTATATGACACTTGTGAAGATGACACGTCGATGTAGCTGCACTTAGTCTCGCTGTAAGAAACCGTCATTGCCTCTCGCTTGAGGACATATGGGTTTGACTGTGTCTATATGACACTTGTGAAAATGACACATTGATGTATTGTTGCACTTGTCACCTCAAGAGGTGAGACTGTCATTTTCAGTAAGCAGTTTATGTTAATTTAGTTCCTAAATAAACTGCTTCTGCTTATTACATACGCTAAAAACGGGTGCTAAAATTGTTAGAAATTATAGATCACAAACTTTATGAATAATGAAACTATAGTTTTATCGCTAAATGTTAAAAAATAAAATGGGCATAAATCTCAGTCACTACGGTTAAAAGTTACTGATTTGATACAGTGGATATGCTGGAATCTAGATACTGCCCCTCCTGTTGAGCAGCACAATCGTCTCCCACAAACAAGTCTGATGGCTTTTTGATTTTCTACCTAACGGCCCGGCCTTTGATACCCACCTTCACAGATCCTCCACCCACCCAGGTTTTTATCCGAGGGCCAATAGCTGGCTTCCCTCCACCATCCACCAGCACAAAGAGCTTTTAATGGCCCTTGGCATGTGGCTCAATGGGGACAGGAGACTGACCCATCCCCTCCCCAACACACACGGACATACAACCACATACACAAAACCCACATGGAGGTACATGCAAGCTTTCTCTCTTCCCCCACCCCCACCACACACACTTTCTGGGTGTAGTAGTCATTTGTGTCCTGAAGGTAAAGCAAGGTCAAACAGATCACCAGAGTCAGTAACACATTTCGTAGTGAGAGGCGTATGTGTGATAACAGTTTATTAAGGAAATGATTATAGTACTGCAGTTTTTACTTTCTGGTTCAGCAAGACTAAATATCTTAATGCCCTTTTTTGGTCATAAAAATGATCTACAGAAATGCCCAATAAAGTCTAGGGGTTCATAATACCTTACGTTTAACTGGTTTCACCAAAAAATATTGCAACCTAAGTTGGTCCATTTCTTCTCTCTCTAACCCCTTAACGTCAAGTTTCCTTTCATTTGCACTTTGCAAGTTTTAAGGCTGGAAAAATCACCACACACCACACAGTATCAAATTCATATTCTGGATCAGCTTGTTTGACCTCATTTATTCATTGAAGCTTACACTGAGTGAAATATTCAAACCAAAGACTCCATGGCAGCAAATGTCTAAATAATGTCTTTTGCATTATGTTATACCAAAAAGTCAGTCTGAAATATTTGGTATTGTTGGGATCTCAATTCGAATTTAATATTAAGTTTTGTGTGTTTGAACAATGTTTGCCTGCATAGAATTAGTTTGTATTAAGACTGTCCTTAAAACACATAATTAAAGATAATGTATTAGACCAGATTTTGTAGATTTTGCCACAGAATGTAACTAATATGGGCACAATTGCCTTTTAGTTATACCAAAACAGCCAGGTTGTGGCGTGTTTTAGAGGTCAAGACACTGACCATGAACCACAATATCCAGGTTTGAATTCATCCGTGGACCTTGCATCTCTCTCCCTCATCTACTGTCATTTCACACATTAAATGCATTAAATGTGCATAAAATCCATACCATGACCAGCACAAAATGAAAAAGACAAGTCAAATTCTTTTTTACGTGTGGTAAAAAGTTTTAATTCCAATCCTTGGTCTGCATGTACAAATATCTATAAAAAGTGAACACTTTCACTCTTTGTATGTACATTTTGCAGCACAGAGTTAACTTGGGGGCACAGAAGAGGGCAGAGAGGAAGGAGGGACAATACAAGATATTGATATTTACCAACTAAACATCCATCAGTATAGTCTGTCTCCAAAGAAGTGCTCAGAAGTCACTTTTACTGTACATTCCCTTCTCCAGCAACAAGATGCATACATACCGGAGGCAGTACAATTCATCAAAGCAGTGCCATGATTCAAACACAGTACAGTCAAACCATGCAAACAGCCAAGTACCTCATTTCCATATATATTTATATTCTATAATCTTAAAATCTTTATATGTAGCTTATATGACAAGAAATAAAATTAGCAACAGCAATGGTAACATTTTTAATGCGAAACCTTCTGTTGTGTTGGGGTATCGATAGAGTTAGCACAATGATCTGATTTTAAATATTTCTGGTGTGTCTGGTAGAAATGTGGTTTAGCCACTAGCTATGCATGACAAAACAAGGAAGGGCACCTGTTTCTCAGCTTATGTGTGTGTTTGTGTTGTACACATGTCTGCTGTTGTATCAGATTCTTTGGAAATAGCTGCAGAAGGAAAGTAACAAAAATGAAAAAAGAGAAAATCTTAACTTAGAGTTTAACATTTAAACGGGACAAAACACCTACAAGGACATGATCTGGGAGGCTTCTGAAAACCTTATGTTAAAAGACAGTGACAGTTAACAAGGAACCCAACATTTGTAGTATTAAAAGCCTTACACTGGGCAGATATAGTAAAGGGCAAGAAAACAATCATTTTTATCACTTCATTTCCCCTGACAGGATCCTCCATTTCTATGCATGCAGTGTGAGATCAAGTGGTTTCTTCCGGAAGAAATGGCTTGTATGCCTGTGTGTTTGGGTTTGTGTGTATGTATGTTCACTTGTGATTCCCCTCATATTGTAAAGTCGAGTCATCAAACAGAGGGTTTTTCACTTCCATCTCTCCAGTCTGTTAAAGAAGAAAATTTGATCGTCATTGTCATAAAACAAGATAAGATAGATAGATAGATAGATAGATAGATAGATAGATAGATAGATAGATAATGCTAGTTTTTGGTGTGTGTTTGTGTGTGTCTCTACCCACCGGTGCAAGTCCCGGGCACTCGTATACTGTGAAGTCTCCCCCCACTTCTTCCTCATCTGATGTGACCTCGGTTTCAGGGACTTTCTGTTCAGGTTTGTGACTGACAAGGGGAAAACAAGAGAATTAAGGTAAGGCAAAGAGGCAAAGAGGTAAAGAGGTAAAAAGGTCAGCGGATGTGGTTGAAAGTGTTAGGCCTACACAAAGACATGAGAGACAGGAAAAAGAGGAAGGAGAGGGAGTGGCAGAGAGGGTGTAGAAAAAAAACAACTTACTTTCCCACTGAGAGCATCTGCTGTTTCTGATGTTGGTAGTGATACATTTGGGCACTCTGAGCCAGAGTCTTATCTCCAATCTGAGTACAAAACAAAAAAGGAAACACATGTTTGTATACTGGTACATCGTGTGGTTATTACAGAAGAAAAAGGAAGCTCTAACCACTAGGACAAGGGGGAGCTGCGTGCTTACCGAGGTACCGTTACCATTGGCTGTGGCAGTAGACACGCCTGGACCTCCAAAAGCAGGGTAGTCGACCTTCTGAGCTAGACGCGATTCTTTCTGCAACCTGTGGGGTGCATCATCAATAGTGAGTCTTCTGCAGTATTGAGCCACTGTTCCTGCTTTTGGCATTTAATCTTAGCTAACAGCTAATGATACGTGAACAAATGGAAGCGGCTTTAATTAAAGTAGTTAAAGTATCAAACAAGTCGAATGATTAGATTATATTATTATATATTATTATATATTTGGTTTGGAGAATTGCATAATATAATATATTGCATACTGTTCTTTACTCGACAATAAAAAGACGATACATTTTGCTTTTAAATTCTTACTTACTTGACGAAACAGACAGTTGCCAGGACCACTGCCACAGTGCCCACAACCACACACAGTGAGATTATAACTGCAGGTTGATGCAAAAGAAAGAGGAGACGAAAGAGAGGGGGATAGAACATGTTAAGGAGTACATGATTAGTGAGAATCAGATGACTACACTGTTGAGACATTTCTTATGGGTGTTAAATGTATTTATATCTTAGTTAATTTGCTCATTATGAATGGTTATGGTCATCTTGGGTAAAATTATATGCAACATAAACGTAATGAACACTGGGCTGAAAATACCAACCGCAAGACCGCTAAGACCTATCTGGCATTTTATCTCTGCTGTGTTACTGTATCAAGGGCATACAATTATACTCACTGACAATAATAGTGTCATTCCTGGGTGCTGGCACAGCTATCGGACCAGCTCTGCCATTAACTCCTGTGGCCCTGGGCTGGGGGGTCGGTGTGTTAGGGAGGGCAGAAACTACGGGGCGAGGGGCTGTAGTGGTGGCACGCTGGCTTCCCTCTGAGAGAAGATTTAGGCTTTTCTGTTTGTTTTTGGAGGCATCTGTCTTGCTTTTTTTAACATCTGTCTGGGAGGTGACGGCAGCTGAAGGGGGTGAGGAAGACAGAAAAATTGAAGGAAAAGACAAGACCAATTTTAGATGTGTTATAGTTACGTATATAGTTACATATCCTTCTTAAGGTTGCGCTCCGGATTCTCACCAGGATGTTTAATTTGCTTTTTTGGTGGTTGGATCTCTTCTCTCATTTCCTGTTTTTCAATGACAGAGTGAATGTAATCGATCTCTTCATCAGGGTCAGGGTAGAATGTCACTTTGCCTAAAGAACACACAAGATTCAAAGTTTCATTGATCTATAGGCATTCATTGTCTTTAAATATAAGCTTAAGATAAATAAAAATAAATGCAATAAGAATGATTCCATAAAATGCTGTACCACTCACTGTGACACTAAAGGCTTCTTAATATAAACAAGGCACCTTCATTCATACACATCACATATAAATTAGTTAGTAGCCACTGACAGTAACTTCATATGCATCACAAGCACAGTTACCAGGACAAACATCTATGGCTGAGGTTTCCAAATGAACCACTATTTAGTCACAATCTACAATTAATAGCAGCTGAATCAGAGGGGTAACTGTGTTTTCATTATCTTACTTTATTCATCAATTCAATAAAACAATAAAATGTCAGAAAATAGTGAAACATGTCCAATATTCTCACATATATATTGTTGCCTTTCTATATTCTAATATCACATTAGACACAGAAAGGCAACAAATCTCCACAGCTGAGAAACTGGAACTAAGCAATGTTTGGCATTATTGCTTGAAAAAAAGAAAAGATTAAACAATCATCAAAATAGTTTCAGATTAACCCTTTTGTCAGTCCACTTACTGACTTGTTGTCCCCCACTTATGCCCCATGAGTTTGGGTGTTTTTCTAGGTTCATACATAGGTACATCATTTTGAAGCCTTTACACTTTCATGACTATAGGTAATATGTAACTATTGTGTGCAAGTAAGGGAGAGACAGAGAGCACATGCATATGCTTTAGGCATGTCTACGTGTCTGTCCACAACCTCCACATGTGTTTTTCAGGGTCTTGCCTCTGAAGTGATGGCCAGGGAGTGTGTCCATGTGTGTTGTTTGTTTGTGGACTGATAAAAAAGGAGACAATACTGAACTGTTGTTAACAGCCTTTACGGCCAGACAGTGAGCCACATTCCTGCAGTACTGCCGAGGTCTCCAGGGAGACATGGGCCGACAGAGTGTGTGTGGCCGGGAGAGGAAGCACCGCAGGGGGGGCAGAATCATCCCAACCGTGGCTTCACTCTGCTTTAGTTGCTACATTCACAATAGATCCCATAGCTCACTTCTAATGGATTTGATCAAAGTGCTATTTCCCTCTATAAAGTATAAAGTTGCACTGCAATATATGAAATATCAAATTATAGGTATTTAAACTCAAGGCTGAAGAGGCCTGAGAAAAGAAGCGTGAGAAAAAGCAAATCGTCATCCATTCAGCATCCTGTGTAGTAACATGTGCAGTTGTTTGATTAAAGTCCACAAAAAACCATTGTGAGCAAATAAATGATCAGTGCTGGTAAATCCATCTAAACGAAGGTGTTATCATGCATTATTTCAGCCACCTACATTACATTAATGATTACAGTGTCACTTTCACTCCAGAAGGCTGGCCATCTGGCTGAGCTAATGTGTATGATATGACATGCCAGCACTTTCACCGCCTGCTTTGTTTTTCTCTTACCCCCCTCCACTAATGGCCATTTAGTGCACTCCATAGCAGGTGTCTGTGGAGGCGGGATGCACCATCTGTACTTTGCAAGTGGCTGGGAGCTCCAACCATGCCTGTGTGCTCGTCAGGAGTATGTGGTAACGCAGGTTTAAATTTTAGAGGACACTAGATGAGAGATTTATTGGTAGATTGATTTAAAATCTGCAGGGAAATGGTTAAACAAAAACAACCAGTAGCCAAAGTTGGAAAAAAAAGGAGTGGCAATTGTGTTTATGTGTGTGGTTTGTCAAACACAGACTAAGCATGCACACCTCTACTTGTGTAAGAGAGTTTTGTCACTGGCTTGATAATGACCCATAACCACTTGAGAGGCACCCAGGGGGCAGTTGGGTACAACAAACAAACACTAAACAGCTCAACAGGGATTGAGGGTCACACACATATGTGCTGTTCTATTTTCCTACTTAAAAACTATTCACATTTCTTCCTCCCCACCACAGCTCTGAAACTCCCTTCCTGCCTTCTACCATATCCTTGTTTAAAAACTCAGAATCAGATTGATTTCACAGATCTTTATTTACATTTATTTGGCGTGGAGATGGCGAAGAGTACTGTGTTGTAATGATCCAGTATATCCCAAGAAACCCTTCACCGAAATGCTTTTAGATGAGACTTTGAGGGTCTTGCAATATTTTGCACCAAAGCTTGCCACGACAGAAGTGCCATATAAACCAGGAAATACCTGATATACCAACACAAAGAAAGCTTTGAACAGATCATTAGTGATATCTGGTATATCAGTCTATGGTGATCAGGCATTATATTCAGCAAATAGGGCTGCAACAATTAAACAAAAAATACTGTAGCCTATAATATGTTTATTAGTTTAATGAAAAATTTATTTATTTATTTATTTCTTATCATTCTATGTAAAGTCACATGTTCACCACAAGTTACCAGAGTCCAAAGTGACTACTACAGTACTACAACAAAGTAATGGATTTATTCCAAAACCATCAAACTACTACTAAACAATGTCACCACACTGAGTTAAAAAGTGAAAGGGGAAATTGAGCAGAGAGCTTCCCCCTCACAGTGAACATGTCCTTAAACCTGTCTACAGATTATTGATTTAAACTGTGTCCTGCTGCCCTCTAGTGGTAAATGTATACATGGAATATGTAGAAGGAAGAGAGACAGACTACAGGTCATTCTCAAATTCTCTGAAAGCAGGACTCTTGGCTAACTTGCCCGCTAATAAAGACCCTGTCAGTTTCAGATCTGTCTAATTGGTGTGCTCAGTGTTTGGAGGAAAGGTCTACAAGACAGGAAACAGACTAAAAAGGTCACAGTTTAAACAGAAACTCGTATCTACTTTTTATAGTTACTCATTTACTTAGAATGAGGTAGTGGTGCACAGTTAAAATGTCATTTTACCCATGAAGTTTTCAGTTAGTTAGGTGTTGTCACCCTCCCACCTGACCTGCTATAAAAAGTTAGCCACAGCTGACTGCAGAGCGTTGAGTCAATACAGGAAATCAGCAATGTTCAAACCTTCAATAAACAATCCCACCAGTCTTTCATCCATCCTTATAAAAATGAATGCACCTAGCAATGGAAAAAGTCTGCCATAAACCCTTTTTAAGTTGCCAGTACTAGAATCTGCGCTTTATAGCCTCTTAATTTCTACAATACAGTCCAAGTCAACAGACCATGTTGAAACTATACAAATATTTTACTTTTTAAAGTAATCTGAAAAGGCAAAATGTTCAAGAGAAAATAAGAATACCCAGGAATTTAAATATAGTTCAAAAATGTACCTAAAAAGTAAATTTTTATGTATCTGCTATAGTGAAATACTTGCTTAGATTTGTTCTAGCTATATTTATAATCTGTGTCCTTTCTTTCTCATTTCCATTTTCACTTAGTTGATCACTTCATGAAAAAAGTGCGGCTGTGACACTTGCTGACCACTGGTGTTTATACCATCAAAATTGCAGAAGCAATCACTTTTCTTATCTCCAGATTTTGATGCTCTGGCTGAACATTATACTTATTTATAATCACACAGTTACAATACGTGACTGTTTATAATTGTAAAAATGCAGTGAGCCTTGTTAGCAATTGACTTTATTACTGAAACGATGTAAAAAAGTGTTAGTTTCATTGTTAACAAACTAAAACTGTTGTTTGGCTCGCCATCAGTTTAGTGATCTAACTTCATGTTACTAAAGTAAACTGCTGCAGGATATTTGTTCATGCTGCGTGTCGCAGAGCCAATAAAGCAGCTGTTGTGGTGTTTTGGTCTTCTCAGTTTGCCGACTGCTCCATTGTATATCGCATAACGTAAAAAGATATACACATGCATAGACAAAAACGGGGGAACAAACTGTTTAGTCATGCGTGGATGTGAGAGAGAAAGAGCTACAAGATGGACAGAGAGACAGCCTTCGCCTTTAGCACATACACAAATGAACCATATAAAGCATACATTCCGTCTCTTTGTAGTTCTTCTGTACAAATGACATGGCTTCGAGGCCTACTGTATGTTTACCAATGGCAGTGCACACCTCCATGTCAAATACAAGCAGGTTCAACTTCCAATAAAAATTTCTTCCTGCCCCACTCGTTCATCTACTGTGCACTTCCATCCTCTCTGAACTGAGAATGTGAAATATTAGACATTATTATGTCATTATTATGATAACAACAGCAGAATAACCTTGAATTCCTGCAATTTACAATCAATCAAACTACATGAACAGACCAATGAGTGCAACGCCACATACTTCTGATAATGTAAGACAGAGAAGAGTTGATATAATCATTTTGAATGCAAGGTATGACAGAAAGGAGTGTGATTTAGAGAAGAGTAAGTCAGAAAGGGTTTCACTGCAGTAAAATATGTGGTGTTACTGCAGTGACTGGAATGGGGAAATAATCTCACTCATAGCGATGATAAGAAACATGACATTATAGTAAAGAGAGAGCTAAGCAGTAGTAACACTTGTTAACCGCCTCAAATAGGAACACACTGACACGCATTACACACCACGCCTCCAAAATCATTGGTCTCCCCACCCCCAACCTCTCCAGGGACCTCAAAAATACCAAGCCATTACACGCAGATACAGGACTCTGGCCTGTAAACGTGCTCACTATGGCAGCAGTTTTGTACCTTCTGCCATAGCATCTCTAAACAAGGCATCCCGGAAACCGCGTGGGTGGGTGCTATGCACATGACAGGGTGGGGTAAATGTGCTAAATGTGTTGCATTAAGTGTTTATTCTTGTTGTTATGTTGTGGTGTCCCTATGTATCTTGTATGCTAATGTATGTATGATCGGAAAGCTACGTACAGACTGCGGTGACACATTTCCTGTTGAAGGACAATAAAAGTATTTCTATACTCTTTATCTATCTATCTAGCTCTATCTATCTAATCCCTATCATTCTATCGTATCTATCTATCTAATCTATTATCTACTCTATCTATCTATCTATCTACTATTAATCTATCTATCTTATCTGATCTATTCTAATCTAATGCTATCTATCTATCTAGCCCTGCCATCAATAATAATGTTATGACTGTAGTCATGCAATTTCTTTGATGATCTGTAATAAATGTAAACTAGACCATGTGACTAGCTACAGGCTGCTAGGATGGCAGGTGTATGATGAGGGTGACTGGATCAACTGGACTGCTCTTTAGTCTCCTGTAGTCCTGCATCCTTCCACTTTCATACATACAGACTTTGAATTATACATTTTTCCTGATACGCATAAAATCCCAGAATCTGATTCTCTCACATTTACCTCAAAAAGTGCTTTATGATATTATTGTGATTATTCTACGAAACAATAGAAAAGCTAAGAATTTGACTGTGCCTCAGAGCCATTCAGTCAATTTGATGACTATTATTAACTAGATAAAAGACTCATGTGGTTTTGTAAGACTGACGGTAGAAATTGAACTGAATTGGAAGAACAAATGGGTACATTTTCTGATGCAAACTGCGCTTGCTGACATTTACAGTACGCATGAGTTATGAGTTGTGAATTGAGGCAAATGGTGTGTCCAAATTTCAGTTTTGAAAATGAGTATATTTTATTCTTTAGCCCACTAAAATTTTAGATAATCGGTTGTTTAGTCCTGAAAACGCAGCCATCATATTTCCTCTGAAGTGACAACAGAGTGAATTCAGAAATGTAATTTGCAGTCTGTAATGCTGCCAAACCACCAAGGCAGCTGTTCTTTATTGTGATTTGATGCATTAAGAGATGACAAACTAAAACCAAATGCGGTATATTTAGGAAATTGTAGCAATTTCCTCAGTTCATTTCAACATTTTGTGCATGATTGTGTGTATTTGCATGTGTGCATGCGATTGTGAAAGAGGGACAGAGTTGGTCTCCCATGTGGATCACTGTGTTCTGTGGTCTCTCAGAGGTTTATGTAACCACTTTAGGGAGCTTAGCTGAGGTCTACCATGAACTGGACTGACACACACACACACACACACACAAACACACACATCAACACACACACACACAGAGACAAATATGTGGAAAAATGAACAGCGATACAAATACAATCCAAAGTCCAAATACTAATAACTGATCAGTCCCTATGATCATATGAGTGTGCTGCAAAAATAAAATCCTCTCTTCTTCCTACATGATGTGAACTTTCTCTGCATCCTCACACTCATCTCCTTCTCATGTATACTTCTCTCTGTGATGCTGCCACCAATGATTTGAGCCAAGTTTGTATGGTATACTCTCCTGCCGCAGACCCATTATTGATTTATTTCCCTATGAGAGCACAATGTGGCCCACCAACAGAATAAATACGCAAGAGCGACGCGCACACACACACACACACACACACAGAGGAAAGCCAGTGCGCTCATATATACACAACAAGTCTCCATTTCCCCTCTTTAATTTCTGCAGTGCCGTCTTGGATCACGATATGAATGCCAGCAGCGCGATGCCGTGGAAATGAGAAAAATAAGATTCATTTTTTCGCAGCTTGGCTCTTTCACTGATTGACATTAGTGATGGAGATGAAGGGCAGGAGAAAGAGAGCGAGAGAGAGAGGTGCATGTCATCTAAGTGATTAAAGCTGCCAGTGCTGGGCGGTTCATGTGCGTATGTGTTGCAGATGCAGCGGGGGCAGAGGCGGATTAAAAAACAGAGAGGATCAGACCGCACCACAGTTGTCACAGATGTGGACGGGAGAAGGCGGGAGAGCGAGGATGACGAGTATGGATGGGGAGAGAAGAGAACAGGAGTAGAAAAGAGCAATACTGAGGGGGAGAAGGAATAAAGAAATCAAACTAAGATCAACTGGGGAGGAGATGGAGAACACAGAATCAATAGACAATTGAGAGAAAGATGTGGAGAGAAAGAGAAATGTAGGCAACAGGATACAAAGACCAACTGAACAGAATAGAGGCAGTGACAAAGAATGAATTTGAAATCAAGATGATAAAAAAGAAAGAACAGCAGTGAGTCAGTCACTACATTTGTGTGCACTCTGATAATTTGATTATAACTGGAGTGAAGTGATTGTTGTAACTGTCATTTAAAACTTAAGCAAGTTATCTAACTGGAATTGAGGTTGTAATTAAAAAAAGCATTACCTGGTTACTCATTAGTTCTTAGTTTACTCAAGATGAATATTTTCTGCGTTTTCATTCAGCAAACCTAAAAGTGCACCAAGTGTTTTTCAATTTATGATATAAGACAGAAAAAAACTGTTCCTTCTCCATCCTCACAAGCTGGAACCAGTGAATATTTGACATTTTTTGCATGAAAACTAATCATTTCAGCTCTAATTGTAAGAGAAGTCATGCTTGTGTTTTCTCTTTCTGACAAAGTCTGATGTGTTGTATTTTATAATTATATGCGAATGTTATCAATACTCCAAACTCAACCAAACCAAAGCAGCTCTCTACATTAATTCATGTGAAAGGTGAAAGAGAGAGACAGAAGTCAATCCATCCTCACCTCTCTATTTCTTTATAGTTATTAGATGTTATAGTCTGCAGGGTATCAGCGTTCCTTCCAGACACCAATCATATGTAAAATTACCCTATTTTACAGAGTTATTTGTGAGCTTATAAATCCACTGAATGAGTTAGTCAGTCAGTATCACTGAAAGAAAATCTGGGTACAGGGTGTCTTCTATGATTTCCCTTCTTTCTGTATCACTTCAGCTAATCAATTTTACCTGAGCAAACCAAACTCACCTGAGGTGCAGTGTTAAGTTTCAGTTTCAGCTGCAACATGATCAAATGAACTGAGCGTGAATGCAGTTAATACATACCATGCTGATGGTGCCTCACCACGCAGCGTCCTTCCTCGTTCTCCTCCAATCCGGAGCGGCAAGGGCCACAGTGGGAGGAGCCAGACTTGCAGAGATGTCGTCTCTCTCTGGCACAGTCTATATTGGAGCACTTACTGCCAGCTGGGTGAGAAAGAGAGAGTGACGGCAACAGTTTTAATGAGTATCCCCAACACAATGCTGTGATGCAGAAATGATGCTTTTAATGAGGAAGTTAAAGGTCCAGTGTGTAGGATTTAGTGGCATATAGTGGTATAGTTGCACATTGCAACTCACTTGCTTCACCCTACCCTTCCAAGTGTGTGGCAGCGATACGCGCAAAAAACATGACCTCAGACAGAGCTCCCCTATTAGAGCCAGTTTCGGGTCTGTCTGTTCTTGGCTACTGTAGAAACATGGCAGTTCAACATGGCGGCGTCCATGGAAAGCGATAGCATATGTAGATGAAAACATCTAATTCTAAGGTTAAAAACACATGCAAAACATACTTATGAATATTATATTCCATTTCTGCCAATAGATCCTCCTAGATGTTATACACTGGACCTTTAAATGACAGCCGCTGTGTGGAAAGATGTACTATAAACAATAAGAGATGCTTCAACTTTATGATAGACGTGGCTTTCATTAGTGGATGTGTCAGCTCTTCAGCTCCATTCAGAGATGAAACATCTGCCCTCAAACGTGTCTGCTGCTGATGTCAGAATTACATCACAGAGTCACTGGATTTTTGAAAATAGCTTTTAGCATTTACTGTTACCTCATCACCTCTATTTGGGCGAGGTTTGCAAGATAGGAGAAGAATGTTTGGACAGTAAGAAGAGTACATTTTAAATCATTTTCTGCATATCGCAAGCTGGTGAGCCCCACCTGTTTGGCAATCTGTGCCAGGTTAAACCAAAGTAAAGAGTGATCTACATCTGCAGGTCACAGATCAGCCTGCAATCATGTTAGATAATCACCTGACCAGATTACTTCCAGTTTGACACAAAAACAGAGCCCAAACGCCGTATTTAGACACAAGCACACACAGCTTGAAAGACACACAAGAGAAGAAGTGGGTCACAGAAACACAGCAGGTGTGTTTGGTAGCAGAGGGTAGGTGGAGCAGTGGGATGCTATCAGAGCGGATAATGAGCCCAGCACAGCTGCACAGCAGGGCAGCTAAAGGTAAATAGCACAGTGGGTGTTGATACTGGCTTAACAGACAGGAGATGATATAAGGTGGGAAGAGAGTGGATGAACCCAGTATTTTTGAGGGATAATGGGTCTGAAAGGTCAGGGTTGTTCAAGTCTATAGGTCACAGAAAAAAAAACTTTTTGTGAAATCCAACTGAGCTTGGTGGGTCATGCATTTGCATTAGCCAGGGGGAAGGAAGAGTTTTTGATAAATCATTTAGAGATCTAATTTTCTTGTTTTTCTCTTTTGTAACAGAGTTCCGTCATTCCTCCTTTCTTAACCTGATTCTTTTCAATTGCTACATAAGAGGAGAGAATTAGACACTATAGGAGATTGCTGGTGGGGGGGGGGTCTCAATGACCTCCATGGCAACAAGGCCTGTAATACCAGGGAAGACGTGTTATTGAAGGACCACATGAGTAGAAAGGGAGCGCTGCAGAGATAAAGAGCAGATAAGAAGGGTATTGTAGGATTGTAACTTTGTGCTACGGCTGGGTCATTTCTTTATATTCAAAGATTCTATTGAGGTTTTTTTCCTATGAAGCCGTTGAATTTCTTCTCTCATATTATATGATGTCATCACCCTAAAATCAAATAAACTTTCAACTGCAGATACATAATGTCATCTTTTTCTGTAGCGACTTTATTATAATTGTGTGATTCGAAATATATTTTATGTTATTGTGGCTACAACAACGTCATTTATGCTGCTACACAGTTCCATTAATACAGGTGCGTTCCTCCCTTTGTGTGTGGCAAGAGGGTGAACAATGTTTTTTTGACCGCAGTGAAAATGATGTTTGTGAAAGGCTAAATGGCAACAAATATGTAAGCTAAATATTTTGTTACATAAAAACATGTTGTGAATTTTGAAAATTCTTACATCTTTACTGTATATTCATTTCTTCCAACAGCTTTGTCCGACTTATTATATCAGATGATAAACTTAAGTGATTTGACTTAATGCATTATTGTCTCATTGTCACATTTTGCTTTTATTATGGATTTGACTGGCTGTTTTGGTTCTGTTTACAACACAATCATTCAAAGTAAATTGTATAAATTCAGATAACTGTTGATTTAAGCCGTTGATTTCTTTAGGCTACTTAATGATGCACTGAAAAAGGAATTTGTGTGTTACAAAATAACCTACCTGTTGCAATGCAGATAAAAACATCTACACAACTCAACACTACTGGAGACTAACTAAAACTAAAAACGAACATTAATAAAAATATCAAACTTTCAACAACACCACCATTGTGCAAACACCGCACAGAAAGCAAGACAAATGTACACATTTTGACACGTCTACACATCATCAAACTGCACCACAGGGAGGTGGACACAAAAGTCTGTATCTTCTTATGTCACTGACTGATCTGCTGCATGGAGTGAGTGGTGGAGTGACGCAGGTGTAATCTGAGAAGCTTTGTTTTCCTTTCTGTTGGCGTTATACGGAAAGAGCAGGTGGTTGGTGATGAGAGATCACGATCATTCCTACTTTTTGTCAAACATCTGTGGCTGAGGGTGAATGGTGTGCTCAAGGTTGCATCTATGGGTGGAAAAGCTAATGTTTTGCTTAGTGCCATGTATCACATCGCCACAAAACTGACATGTTTGATCGTTGGCTGCTGTTTAAAGTCACGCTCTGTCTTTTTCTGTTCCCACAGCCAAGCAACAATTCTGTCACCTCTATGTTTAAATGCTACCTCATCATCTGCTCCGGCCCCGCTGCCAAGTTATTCCACATCCCTGTGCCATGTGCCGAGCCTCCTAATTCCTGATTAGATCCAAGTTCACTGTCTTCATTATTTTCTCTCCTCTACCTCCCTCAGTTGTCATGGCTTCTATTTTTACATGCCACGTGCCTTCCTTTAATTTCCCTCTAGGTATCAAACCTTTATATGATCTTTTCACATGTTCTTATTTATTTCCCTTATCCCCATGACCTCAGAGGAAGAAAAATCGTCACTAGAAACAGACTGTTCTGTCTTTGTGGTATTTTATATGAGTGTGTACAGTTTGTGTCACTACACTGAGTGAGTGGAGTGGAATTCATTCTTGGGCACGTGTCTGTGCACATGTGCATGCCCACAAGACTATGAAGGATTTCCTGCAAAGAAACACAGATTTACTCACATTCAAAATATAACTTATCAGTGTAGTGTCTCTTTAGTCCTCGACTGCTTACCTGGTAGCTTTCAGTCTTATTCCTGAACGCAAACATAATTGCAGATTTTGCTTTATTCTCAGTAATTAAAAAAAAAAAAATTACAGTATTCCAGATCTCTTCTGGGAAGTGGCCCATGAAGAAGAGATTCTCACTAGCTTCATTGACCAATTGCAAAAGGTACCGTATCATTTTAACATGCACTGATACAGCAACTGGTGATTATTTTCCTTATTAATCTGCAAATTACTGTCTCAATAACATTTCTGGTCTATAGAATTAAAGTCGTAACATTGTGGAAAATACCCATTGCAATTTCAATTTTCAAATTGAGGTGAGGTGCCTGCACAGACCCCGAAGGATACTAAAAGACAGCACCCACTCCAGCCACAGCCTGTTCACCCATGCTTCCATCTGAACAGAGGTTCTTCCACTGCCGTACCATCATACTTAAAGACAGCTTCTTTCCTCAGGCTGTTCAATTCTTCCTCAAGAATTCATCAACATTTTTTTATGACTGAAATAACCTTGGATCCCAGTCTAAGAAAATGTATCAAAAATTGGAGTAAGCTAAAACATTAGTAAATCATTCGTTCTCAACTCCATACATGGATTACATCTCCTGCTGTTTCTAAAAACCTCTAAACTTCCTCCTCTCCCTGAAAAACCCCACTCGTTCTCATCACCTCCCATCCATTCGTCAAATTATTCCACCGTCCACCATTTTATTACGACTCTTTGATCCAGTAACTGTCCGAGGGCTGTTTAGGCCCAGAGCACATGCAGATGACTGCACTCATGTCACAGATCAAACAACCCATTCCCGTCTCATACTCCTTGACCTTTCTTCATTGTGAGGATTAGCCAATTTTGAATACATTTATACATGTATGTGCCTTTGTGTTCATATATGTGCATGTTATTAGCGAATCATTTCAGTTCACAGTGTAATCCTTGAATTTTGACATTTTTTAGCTATAACTGCATGGCCTTAGGATGGCAATGCCGGTTGGCTGATTGCTGGGAAGGTCCACCACTCGGGTCCAGAATTCATTCATTCATTCATTCATGGACATTCATGGTACTCCGACGATGAATCCTAATGACTTTGGTTATCCCCTGACTTTTCATCTACTGCAAATATTAGCATGCATAGAAGCTAAACTAAGTTAGTGCTATACATCAACATTGTTAGTTATAAACATGTTAGCATTGAATTTAGCATTTAGCTGAAGGCACCGCTGTAGAGTAAAGCCTCAAAACTAAAGACCGCCGACTGCTCCTGTTAATGTTTCATACTGATATTCATTACATTACGGACCAAACTAGCGCTTTGTCAGGGTCAGTCTTGTTAGGGTCATATTACATTCATTCACTGCATTATGAAGTGCTTTCAGTTTCACCAAACTGTTTAGTTGGGCTTTAGTCTCAGACTTTTTTTTACAGTGTGTTCACATGTGCTATCATTTGAAGGTCAGCCAGTGATGAGAACAGCTCTAGAGTGAAACTGAAGTACAGGTAAGATGAATCAATGTCTCGGTATCACAGGAGAATGTAGTAATTTATTGGTGCAATATTGTCATGATAATGTTGATAACTGGTGTGGATCGCTGAATCATTTGCTATATATGTCTTGACCCCAGGTGCACAATCATGCACAAAAAACTCCACTGCCACAAACATAAATCACTGGTGTCTGAGACAAAAGGGAAGAGGAATTGAATCCCTGTTATAAACGAGATAAAGCAATGTGTTCTACATAGTAAGTAA